CATATGGTCTCACAAGGGGTCTGAGGATCTCATCTCGGTACCTAATGGCAGTCAGGCTACCTCTGGCGAGCACATGGAGGGCTGTGCGGCCCCCCAAAGAAATGCCACCCCACACCATGACTGACCCACCGCCAAACCGGTCATGCTGGAGGATGTTGCAGGCAGCAGAACGTTCTCCACGGCGTCTCCAGACTCTGTCACGTCTGTCACATGTGCTCAGTGTGAACCTGCTTTCATCTGTGAAGAGCACAGGGTGCCAGTGGCGAATTTGCCAATCTTGGTGTTCTCTGGCAAATGCCAAACGTCCTGCACGGTGTTGGGCTGTAAGCACAACCCCCACCTGTGGACGTCGGGCCCTCATACCACCCTCATGGAGTCTGTTTCTGACCGTTTGAGCAGACACATGCACATTTGTGGCCTGCTGGAGGTCATTTTGCAGGGCTCTGGCAGTGCTCCTCCTGCTCCTTCTTGTACAAAGGCGGAGGTAGTGGTCCTGCTGCTGGGTTGTTGCCCTCCTACGGCCTCCTCCATGTCTCCTGATGTACTGGCCTGTCTCCTGGTAGCGCCTCCATGCTCTGGACACTACGCTGACAGACACAGCAAACCTTCTTTCCACAGCTCGCATTGATGTGCCATCCTGGATGAGCTGCACTACCTGAGCCACTTGTGTGGGTTGTAGACATGCTACTACTAGAGTGAAAGCACCGCCAGCATTCAAAAGTGACCAAAACATCAGCCAGGAAGCATAGGAACTGAGAAGTGGTCTGTGGTCACCACCTGCAGAACCACTTCTTTATTGGGGGTGTCTTGCTAATTGCCTATAATTTCCACCTGTTGTCTATTCCATTTGCACAACAGCATGTCAATCAGTGTTGCTTTCTAAGTGGACAGTTTGATTTCACAGAAGTGTGATTGACTTGGAGTTACATTGTGTTGTTTAAGTGCAGTGTATGTTGGAACATTGCTCTGTGACTTGCTTCCATTCAGCCACGAGCATTAGTGAGGTCGGGCATTGATGTTGGGCGATTAGGCCTGGCTCACAGTTGGTGTTCCAATTCATCCCAAAGGATGAATGGGGTTGAGGTCAGGGCTCTGTGCAGGCCAGTCAAGTTCTTCCACAACGATCTCGACAAACCATTTCTGTATGGGCCTCGCTTTGTGCTCGGGGGCATTGTCATGCTGAAACAGGAAAGGGCCTTCCCCAAACTGTTGCCACAAAGTTGGAAGCACAGAATCATCTAGAATGTCATTGTGTGCTATAGCGTTAAGATTTCCCTTCACTGGAAAAACAGCCCCAGACCATTATTTGTCCTCCACCAAACATTACAGTTGGCACTATACATTGGGGCAGGTAGCATTCTCCTGGCTTCCGCCAAACCCAGATTTGTCCGTTGGACTGCCAGATGGTGACGCTTGATTCATCACTCCAGGGAACGTGTTTCCGCTGCTCCAGAGTCCAATGGCGGCGAGCTTTACACCACTCTGGCCGACACTTGGCATTGCGAATGGTTATCTTAGGCTTGTGTGCGTCTGCTCGGCCATGGAAACCCATTTCATGAAGCTCCTGACGAACACTTCTTGTGCTGATGTTGCTTCCAGAGGCAGTTTGGAACTTGGTAGTGAGTGTTGCAACCTGGGACAGAAGATTTTTACACCCTTCTGCACTCGGTGGTCCCATTCTGTGAGCTTGTGTGGCCTACCATTTTCCGGCTGAGTTGTTGTTGCTCCTAGATGTTTCCACTTTACAATAACAGCACTTACAGTTGACCTGGGCAGCTCTAGCAGGGCAGAAATTTGAGGAACTAACTTGTTAGAAAGGTGGCATCCTATGACGGTGCCACGTTGAAAGTCACTGAGCTCTTCAGTAAGGCCATTCTACTGCCAATGTTTGTCTATGGAGATTGCATGGCTGTGTACACCTGTCAGCAACAGGTGTGGCTGAAATAGCAGAATTGACTAATTTAAAGGGGTGTCCACATACTTTTGTATAGATGGTGTATCTAATCATAACAGAATAATTCTATAGGGAATATTATTTTTATTTTTACTAATGGGCATATTAAATAACTGTGAACAAGTTATGAAGTGCAATGATGGAGAGAGTGTTGCAGGCTCATATCTATCAGAGCAGAGAGTGGGAGAGAGATCATAGAAATAGAATCTCAGGCATCCACTTTTCTCTCACCACAGCAACGGCTAAGCGTTGCTCTCAAAACATGCAATATTGCACAAACCTAAGCCCGGGCCCAACCCAACTCCTGCACCATTCCCAGCCTTAGGTTGCCTCCAACATCCCCTGGTCCCAGCCCCCATCCTTTTCCCTTTCTCGCTTCCCTAGTCCTTAGCCCAAGCCTCACTGTCTCTATCCCTGTCCCTCAAGCAAAGCTCAGCCCCAAACTCAGTCTCAACTCATTCTAGACACAGTCCCAGTTCCAGCCATAGACCAATGTCGTCAGAGTCTGTTGGCCTCTCCCTAAGCCCAACCTCATCCCTAATCGTAATGACCACAGCTGCAGCCTCGACCTAGCCCAACTCATCAGTACCGGATGTGGCTGTGTGTTCTGATCCATAGAGAGAGAGCGGGAAGAGAGTTATGTATGGTATGCTGTGGCCTGATGCCATAGCTAGCTAGCTAGGGGTGTGTCTCCTTGCTGTCAAAAGCATCATATCTAAAGCTATTTGCATGTCAGGGATGCCTGACTTTGCGTGTTCGTGTGTGTGTTACTCAGGACTAGGTTTTCAACATTCCGGTAATGTTCCTAAAACTCCCAGGTATTTCAGAAATCCTGGTTGGACGGATCCTGGATTTCCTGCTTAGTCTCTCCTGATTCCAGGAATCTTCCAACCAGGATTTCTGGAGAACCTGGACATTTTGAGAAAGTTACTGACATTTTGCAACCCCACTCATTGAGTCCAAGCTTCTGTATGACCACTAAAATATTTGAGTCCTTTTGCTTGCTATATTTCAATGTGGAACTAAATAAGCCATTGCCATGTTTCCCTCAGGATGGGTTTGTGGTGCGGATCTACGCGACCAGTACAGACTCAGCATTGCAGCAGGAGCTTCAGCTGAAACTGGCCAGGAAGTGTCTCCACGCCTGCGGCATCTCTCTGTTTGACCTTGAGAAAGACCTACACATCATCAGTGAGTACTACTGAATTTGCTCTGGGGTGAAGTTTCCCCTAGGTACAGATCTATGATCAGCTTCCCCTCCCCCAATCCTAACCTTAACCATTAGTGGGGAAAATGCTAAACTCACCCAAGATCAGTGTTTAGGGGCAACTTCACAACCTTACACCATCTCGCTCCATCAGATAATGGCATATGAGGCATCATCATATGTGTGTTTTTAGGTGGAGACTGTTGTCACTGAATCAGAGGTCTGAATGTCTGAAATGGAAGAAATGCAAACCATGATAACGTTCTATTCATTCTATTCCAGGGATTGCAATGCACCGGTCTCCACGTGTGCGTTTCTGTAATATCTTTTTGGGATTGTGAATTTGTGTGTTTTGCATATACAGTACCAGTCAAAAGTCAAGGGTTTTTCTTTATTACAAATCCAAATATGTTATATTTTAGATTCTTCAAAGTAGCCACCCTTTGCCTTGATGACAGCTTTGCACACACTTGGCATTCTCTCAACCAGCTTCACCTGGAATGCTTTTCCAACAGTCTTGAAGGAGTTCCCACATATGCTAAGCACTTCATCCCAAACCATCTCAATTGGGTTGAGGTCGGGTGATTGTGGAGGCCAGGTTATCTGATGCAGCACTCCATCGCTCTCCTTCTTGGTCAAATAGCCCTTACACAGCCTGGAGGTGTGTTGGGTCATTGTCCTATTGAAAAACAAATGATAGTCCCGCTAAGCGCAAACCAGATGGGATGGCATATCGCTGCAGAATGCTGTGGTAGCCATTCTGGTTAAGTGTGCCTTGAATTCTAAATAAATCACAGACAGTGTCACCAGAAAGCACCATCACACCACCACCTCCATGCTTCGCGGTGGGAACCACACATGTGGAGATCATCCGTTCACCTACTCTGCGTCTCACAAAGACACGGCGGTTGTAACAAAAAATCTCACATTTGGACTCATCAGACCAAAGGACAGATTTCCACCGGTCTAATGTCCATTGCTCGTGTTTCTTGGCCCAAGCAAGTCTCTTCTTGTTATTGGTGCCCTTTAGTAGTGGTTTCTTTACAGCAATTCACACAGTCTCCTCTGAACAGTTGATGTTGATGTGTCTGTTACTTGAACTCTGAAGCATTTATTTGGGCTGCAATCGGAGGTGCAGTTAACTTTAATGAACTTATCCTCTGCAGCAGAGGTAACTCTGGGTCTTCCTTTCCTGTGGTGGTCCTCATGAGAGCCAGTTTCATTATAGCACTTGATGGTTTCTGCGACTGCACTTAAAGAAAAGTTATTGACATTTTCCGGATTGACTGTCCTTCATGTCTTAAAGTAATGATGGACTGTCATTTCTCTTTACTTATCTGAGCTGTTCTTGCCATAAAATGGACTTAGTCTTTTACCAAATAGGGCTATCTTTGGTGTACCCACCCCTACCTTGTCACAACACAACTGATTGGCTCAAACACATTATGAAGTTAAGAAATTCCAAAAATTAACTGTTAATTGAAATGCATTCCAGGTGACTACCTCATGAAGCTGGTTGAGAGAATGCCAAGAGTGTGCAAAGCTGTCATCAAGGCAAAGAGTGGCTACTTTGAAGAATCCCACATATGAAATATATTTTGATTTGTTTAACACTTTTTTTGGTTTCTACATGATTCCATATGTTATTTCATAGTTTTGATGTCTTCACTATTATTCTACAATGTAGAAAATAGTAAAAAATGAAGGAAAACCCTTGAATGAGTAGGTGTGTCCAAACCTTTGACTGGTACTGTATATCAAAATGTGTTTTTGTGTTTTCCAGGTACAGGGTTTGATGAGGAGGCAGCATTGCTGGGAGCAGGCAGGGAATTTGCTTTGATGAAAACGGCCTCAGGAAAGGTAAGAACGCCAGAACTGTACAAACTGAGATGCATGTAACTGCAGCATAACATGTTTAATGGAAGTGTGTGTGTGTGTGTTACCGTTGATGTGGGTACAAAGAACATTTAATTCAAGAAGCAGGAAATGGTCATTCTAATCTGCTGTGACCAGCAACACGAGGGCTCTGCTCATTCTGTTCTTCCTCTATATATACACACACGCAAACACACATTCTGCCTCTCACACAAGTCCATTAACCTCCATATGTTAATTGAATGCTCCCTAACACAACAACATCTGCTTGGAGTTAACAACTTTGAGCTATTTCAGTCACGAGACCACCAGTGTATTTACTAAGAACCAAATGGAGGAGAAACGGGGATAGACTAACTTGGAATTGTCCAATAGTTTTCCATTGCAAGCGTTACCCGTTGATAAATATATTGTGTGCACTGCCAATTGTGCCTAATTGCTTAAACAAACACACACACAGACACAGAGCTCGACATTTTTCGTTTGAGCTTTGTTTCTATTGGCATTTTCATAGATATATCCATAATAATGACGTTTATGCATGAATTGCTCTGGCTCAGAAAAAGTGAATTTCTCTTCTGGACACTGTTCACTATGTATGGTACAAGGGAGATCGCAATCCAAAGTGAAAAAAAAAGAGGTCCGACAGGCAGACAGCAATGCTTATATGAACCATTTGCTGTTACAAACCAAATGGTAGCCTAGAAGCGAGGGGAAATAATGACAGATTATTCGGACAGTAACATGAACATGATCTCTTATATAGGCGCAGTGATAATTCATATGGAACTGTAAGCAGGCATAGGTGTGTCTGTGTTGGCGAATACAGCACGGCTTGGAACGCTGCTTGTCTAATCAGCATCCAGGATCCATTTTACCCCCTTTTTTCTCCCAATTTCAATTACGATCTTGTCTCATCGCTGCAACTCCCCAACGGGCTCGGGAGAGGCGAAGGTCAAGTCATGCGTTCTCTGAAACATGACCCGCCAAACCGCACTCCTTAACACCCACCCACTTAACTCAGAAGCCAGCTGCACCAATGTCTCGGAGGAACACTGTTTAACTGACGACCGAAGCTACAAGGAGTCGCTAGAGCACGATGAGCCAAGTAAAGCCCCCCCTGGCCAAACCCTCCCCTAACCGTGACGACGCTGGGCCAATTGTGCGCCGCCCTATGGGACTCCCGGTCACGGCCGGTTGTGACACAGCCTGCGATCGAACCCTGCGCCACTCGGGAGGCCAAACAACCCATTTTCTAATAATAATTAGTGTGATGCTGTGTATAGTGCGCTGGGGCTCTGTGTGTGTGTACTGTGCGTACCTTGTGTGTGTGTCTAGTTTAGTGTGTGTACAGTGGCGTGAAAAAGTATTTGCCCCCTTTCTAATTTTATCTACTTTTGCATATTTTGTATAGTGAATGTTATCAGATCTTCAACCAAACCCTAATATTAGATAAAGGGAACCTGAGTGAACAAATATCACAACAATTACAGTACCAGTCATTAGTTTGGACACACCTACTCATTCCAGGGTTTTTCTTTATTTTTATAATAAATCACTATTTTTACTATTTTCAACAACGCTGGTACTGTTACAGTCGTTCAATGTTGCCCAGTTTTCTTGCGTGTCATCAAACACATATATTTTCCCGATGCTAGCCATTCACTTCACTTCCGCGGGTCTTTGATCTGCCGCCTCGTTCTCGTCAGCACTCCCCTCGTAGTCACAAGCTTGCTAGCTGCTGTGCTACAGGGTCAAAATCTAACTCACTTCCTACGAGCTCCATCTGCATTCGTGATGCACACTGTAGGTGATCATCCTCGTCACCATTGTAGTGTCTTAGCTCTTATTACTAATTGATATATTAAGAAAGACTCCAAATACAAATAAAATAAAATTTTATTGGTCACATACACATATTTAGCAGATGTTATTGCGGGTGTAGCGAAATGTTTGTGTTCCTAGCTCCAACAGTGCAGTAGTATCTAACAATTCACAACAATACACAAATCTAAAAGTAAAAGAATGGAATAAATAAAAATAAAAATATTAGGACGAGCATTGTCGGTGGCATTGACTTAAATACAGTAGAATATAATACTATATATACATATGCGATGAGTAAAGCAGTATGTAAACATTATTAAAGTGACTAGTGTTCCATTATTAAAGTGGCCAGTGATTCCATGTCTGTGTATATAGCGCAACAGCCTCTAAGGTGCAGGGTTGAGTAATCGGGTGGTAGCCGGCTAGTGATGGCGTAAGTGAACTGGAGCTTCACATTTACTAAAGCTAGTTAGTACAAGAATAACATAGAGCAACACTGCGCATGACCAAGGGCGCTCCGTTCTTAAAGGGGACATCAGTAATTAACAGAACATAACACCAACTTTATCAATCAGATGGATAGCTAGCAAAATAAGTGGTGTATATTGTATTTTTATTGGCAAATGTAACTTGCAACATGACCTTTAAAGTTACATAGCGTAGCCCTTTACACTTCAAATACAATTTTATTTGTCACATACACGTGTTTAGCGGATGTTATTGCGGTTGTTGCGAAATGCTTGTGCTTCTAGCTCCGACAGTGCAGTAATTTCTACCAGTAATATCTAACAATTTCACAACATATACCCAATACACACAAATCTAAGTAAGGAATGGAATTTAAGAATACAGTGCTATGAAAAAGTATTTGCCCCCTTTCTAATTTTCTCTACTTTTGCATATTTGTGATACTGAATGTTATCAGATCTTCAACCAAAACATAATATTAGATATAGGGAACATAAGTTAACAAATAACACAACAATTACATATTTATTTCATTTATTTCATAAACAAAGTTATGCAACACCCAATTTCCCTGTGTGAATAAGTAATTGCCCCCTTACACTCAATAACTGGTTGTGCCACCTTTAGCTGCAATGACTCCAACCAAATGCTTCCTGTAGTTGTTGATCAGTCTCTCATGTCGCTGTGGAGGAATTTTGGCCCACTTCCATGTGAGCTGAAGCTGAAGCGCAGCTGGGTCATGCAGCAAGACAACGATCCAAAACACACAATCAAGTCTACATGAAAATTGCTAAAAAAGCAACACATTGGAAGTTTTGGAATGGCCTAGTCAAAGTCCAGACCTAATCCCAATTGAGATGTTGTGGCAGGACTTGAAACGAGCAGTTCATGCTTGAAAACCCACACGTCACTGAGTTAAAGCAGTTCTGCATGGAAGAGTGGGCCAAAATGTATCCACAGCGACGTGAGAGACTGATCAACAACTACAGGAAGTATTTGGTTGGAGTCATTGCAGCTAAAGGTGGCACAACCAGTTATTGAGTGTAAGGGGGCAATTACTTTTTCACACAGGGGAATTGGGTGTTGCATAACTTTGTTTATGAAATAAATATGTAATTGTTGTGTTATTTGTTCACTTATGTACCCTTTATCTAATATTAGGTTTTGGTTGAAGATCTGATAACATTCAGTATCACAAATATGTAAAAGTAGAGAAAATTAGAACGGGGGTAAATACTTTTTCATAGCACTGTATATACATGCATGGACAAGCAATGACAGAGCGGCATGGACTAAGATACAGTAGAATATTATAGAATACAGTATATACATATCAGATGAGTAATGCAATATATGTAAACATTATTAAAGTGACTAGTGTTCCATTTCTTAAAGTGGCCAGTGATTTTCAATAAGCATCAGCAGCCTCTAATGTGCTAGTGATGGCTATTTAACAGTCTGATGGCCTTGAGAAAGAAGCTGTTTTTCCTTCTCTCGGTCCCAGCTTTGATGCACCTGCACTGACCTCGCCTTCTGGATGATAGCGGGGTGAACAGGCAGTGGCTCTAGTGGTTGATGTCCTTCATGATCTTTTTGGCCTTCCTGTGACATCGGGTGCTGTAGGTGTCCTGGAAGGCGGGTAGTTTGCCCCCGGTAATGTGTTTGGCAGACCCTCTGGAGAGCCCTGTGGTTGCGGGCGGTGCAGTTGCCGTACCAGGCGGTGATACAGCCCGACAAGCTGTTCTCAATTGTGCAACTGTAAAAGTTTGAGGGTTTTGGGTGCCAAGACAAATTTCTTCAGCCTCCTGAGGTTGAAGAGGCTCTGTTGCGCCTGTAGTATCGCGTCAATGCTGGTAATTATTGCTGTCAAACAAAGAGTCCGCTTAGGCTGTACTTTGATTATAAGTTTTATTTATATCACAAGATTTCAGCATACGTTTACAGACCCTGCCGGGCTGGAGAACAGTGTCGAAAGATAATGTCTGTTCTAACCTCTTCTTCGCTTTTACCCAGTATATATAATCTTCCCAAGATATGGGTGGCTCCCTCTACTGTCCAATCCCCTGTCTACAACACACACTTCCTGTCTGTTGTATGTGGCGTCACACTAAAACCTTCCCTCTGACACTAAATAAACATACTTTCAGTTCCACTTAAAAAACATTAACAAAGTCATAATCTTAATACACTACATGCCTTCTTCACCTCACTGTCTGCGTGGGTGGACCATTTCAGTTTGTCAGTGATGTGTACGCCAAGGCACTTGATGCTTTTCACCTTCTCCACTGGGGTCCCGTCGATGTGGATAGAGGGGTGCACCCTCTGCTGTTTCCTGAAGTCCACGATCATCTCCTTTGATTTGTACCCGTATATGGGTTAAAAATGGCAGATTTGGGCACTAATAAGCGCAAATGGCTGTACAGTAAAATGCTATACATGACGTCAGAGCTCTGGCTCTGCACTTCACATCACTGTATGGGTTTTGACTGAAAGCCATTCTGAACTTGAGTACCTTCTCAAAAAATGATTATTGTCAATCAACAATGACAAACCACCGGGGTCTGACAACTTGGATGGAAAATTACTGAGGATAATAGCGGACGATATTGCCACTCCTATTTGCCATATCTTCAATTTAAGCCTACTAGAAAGTGTGCACCCTCAGGCCTGGAGAGAAGGAAAAGTTATTCCCCTACCTAAGAATAGTAAAGCCCCCTTAACTGGCTCAAATAGCCAACCAATCAGCCTGTTACCAACCTTTAGTAAACTTTTGGAAAAAATGATGTTTGACCAGATACAATGCTATTTTACAGTAAACAAATTGACAACAGACTTTAGGCACACTTATAGGGAAGGACATTCAACAAGCACGACACTGACACAAATGACTGATGATTGGCTGAGAGAAATTTATGATAAAAAGATTGTGAGGGCTGTTTTGTTAGACTTCAGTGCGTCATTTGACATTATCGATCATAGTCTGTTGCTGGAAAAACAAATGTGTTATGGCTTTACACCCCCTGCTAAGTTGTGGATAAAAAGTTACCTGTCTAACAGAACACAGAGGGTGTTCTTTAATGGAAGCCTCTACAACAAAATCCAGGTAGAATTAGGAATTTCCCAGGGCAGCTGTCTAGGCCCCTTACCTTTTTCAATCTTTACTAACGACATGCTTTGAGTAATGCCAGTGTGTCTATTTAAGCGGATGACTCAACACTATACACGTCAGCTACCACAGCGACTGAAATGACAGCAACACTTAACAAAGAGCTGCAGTTAGTTTCAAAATGGGTGGCAAGGAATAAGTTAGTCTTAAATATTTCAAAAACTAAAAGTATTGTATTTGGGACAAATCATTTACTAAACCCTAAACCTCAACTAAATCTTGTAATGAATAATGTGGAAATTGAACATGTTGAGGAGACTAAATTGCTTGGAGTAACCCTGGATTGTAAATTGTCATGGTCAAAACATATTGATACAACAGTAGCTAGGATAGTATGTCTATAATAAAGTGCTGCTCTGCATTCTTACCAGCACTATCAACAAGGCAGGTCCTACAGTTCCTAGTTTTGTCGCACCTGGACTACTGTTCAGTCGTGTGGTCAGGTGCCACAAAGAGGGACTTAGGAGAATTGCAATTGGCTCAGAACAGAACAATTGGCTGGCCCTTAGATGTACACAGAGAGCTAACATTAATACTATGCATGTAAATCTCTCCTGGCTCAAGTGGAGGAGAGATTGACTTCATCGCTACTTGTATTTGTGAGAGGTATTGACATGTTGAATGCACCGAGCTGTCTGTTTGAACTACTGGCACACAGCTCGGACACCCATGCATCCCCCTCAAGACATGCCTCCAGAGGTCTCTTCACAGTCCCCAAGTCAAGAACAGACTATGGGAGGCGCACAGTACTACATAGAGCCATGACTACATGGAACTCTGTTCCACATCAAGTAACTCATGCCAGCAGTAAAATTAGATGAAATAAAATAAAAAAACAGATTAAAAATATACCTTATGGAACAGTGGGGACTGTGAAGCAACACAAACATAGACACATGCATACAAACACACAATAACATACAAACTATACACACATGGTGAAGCTGTTTGAGAGAATGCAAAGAGTGTGCAAAGCTGTCATCAAGGCAAAGGGTGGCTATTTGAAGAATCTCAAATATAACATATATTTTGTTTTGTTTAACACTTTTTTGGTTACTACATGGTTCCATATGTGTTATTTCATAGTTTTGATTTCTTCACTATTATTCTACAATGTAAAACATTGTAAAAAATAAAGAAAAACCCTTGAATGAGTAGGTGTGTCCAAACTTTTGACTGGTGCTGTATGTCATGACAGTGTTATGACCATATTATGACAGGTTATGTTAGCTGTTATGACATATTATGACATGGTTATGACCATGTCATAATGTGTTATGACGCTGGGTATCAAGTAAAGTGTTACCAAAATTGATGTGTGCTTGCTCTAAGTCCTCAACGGCACATCTAGTAGAGCTCAAAAAAGTACCTTATAGTTGAAGACTCTTCTTTGAGTCATAAAAGTGCATTAAAATTGATTTTCCAGAAATAGTCTTGTTACTGAATGTATCCAGAGTATTTTCTGGTTTCTTTATCAACAAATACACAAAAAGTACAGTAAATGTAAAATGCACATAAAATCAACAGTTTGGATTCAGTCGTGTGTCAGGTGAACTGTTATGTCTTCAACTTTGGTCTTATAATTTTCCCATTATCTCCAAATATTTCCCTTTCAATTGCTACAATGGTTGTGCATATGCTTTTCATATTTCTTCTGTAAGAAACATTTCAATTTAGCCCTATCCATATAGGCCAATTCCCACGAGTGTTAAGGTGATTTGGCCCAATTTATTAAAGAGGGTCTGTATTGGCTGATTTCGCCTCAGTTTTCCTCCTCGTCATTAAGAAATGAAACTGAAAAGACGAAATTTGATTCTTGGAGGCGTGCTTTGATGTGGGTGTTTCTTGTGTGTGTCTTCGCACGTGGGATGTGTTCGTACATTCATGGTCAGTGAGGTGTTCTCTCATTTGTGTCTGGAGGTAGTAGTAAGCTAGCCAACTTGAGCCAGTTAGCTTTTGTCCTTGACTGATGTTGTGATATCAGAACACTCCTTTGCAGCCGAAGTGTCCGGTGTGTGACAATGGTAAAGTTAGAGTTTTTCAACCGAAAAAGTTAGTTTATCTCTCTCCCTCTCCACCCTGCCCCTCTCCCTCCTCAGATCTACTACACAGGGAAGTACCAGAGCCTCGGCATCAAGCAAGGTGGTCCGTCGGCAGGTAAATGGGTGGAGCTGCCTGTCACCAAGTCCCCTAAGATCGTCCAGTTCTCGGTGGGCCATGACGGCTCGCATGCCCTGCTGGTGGCCGAGGATGGCAGCGTGTTCTTCACCGGCTCTGCCAGCAAGGGAGAGGACGGAGAGTCCAGTAAGTATGGACGAGAACACACACCTACACAGACGAGAATACGCATGGATGTGGTCCAAGATGGCGCTGAAGGACATTGCTATTTAGTTACTTTTTTTGTGTTCATCTTTACTCTTTTTGTACAGAAAGTTCATACTATTATCACATATGACAGCCAAGCACTTCTGGACATCAGATCGACAGTTAGTAACCTTTCACTTTTACCAACACGTCTCCTGCACCACTAGGGGTGCTAAAACTCTAGACCACTTTTATTCTACCCACAGAAATGCATACAAGGTCCTCCCTTCGGCAAATATGTCATGACTTTATTCTCCTGTTTCCTGTTCACATATAAAAGCTCAAACAGGAAGTACCAGTGATGCGCTCAATAAAGTGGTCCGATGTAGCAGACGCGAGGCTACAATACTATTTTGCTAGTACAGACTGGGATATGTTCTGGAATTCACCCAATAGCATTCAGGAGTTTACCAATTCACTCACAGGCTTCATTAATAAGTGCATAGACAACGTCGTCCCCACAGTGACTATACGAACGTATCCAAACCAAAAACCATGGATTACAGGCAATATCTGCGCTGGGCCAAAGGCTAGAGCTACCACTTACAAGGAACAGGACACGGACATGGACACATGCAAGAAAGCCCACTACGACCTCCGAGACAACAAACATGCAAAAGGACAATATTGGAGGAGGGTGGAATCCTATTACACCGGCTCTGATGCAGGGCTTGCAGACTATCGGATTACAAAGGAAAACCAAGTCGTGAGATGCCCACTGATGCAGAACTCCCAAACAAGCTAAATGCCTTGTATTCCTCAAAGCGGCCATAAAACAATGAGTCTTGCGTGAAAGCCCCTGTTCAAATAACTGTCTGATCTCGCTCTCCGTGGCCAATGTGAGTAAAACTTTTAAACAGGTTAACACTCGCAAGGCCGCCGGGCCAGACGGAATACCAGGGCACGTTCTCAAAGCATGGGAAGACCAGCTGGTGAGTGCAATCTCTCCTTGTTCCAGTCTGTAATCCCAACATGTTTCAAGCTGACCACCATTGTCCCTGTTCCCAAGAACTCTAAGTTAACTTGCCTAAATGACTGTCACCCTGAAAGGCTGGTCATGACACACATCAACACCATCATCCCAAACAGCCTGGATGCACTCCAATTTACATACCGCCCCAACAGATCCACAAATTGCACTTCACACTGCCCTCTCCCATCTGGACAACAGGGGAAATAACAATGTGAGAATGCTATTTACAGACTAAAGCTCAGTGTTCAACACCATAGTTCCCTCCAAGTGCATCACCAAGTTGGGGACCCCGGGACTGAACACCTCCCTCTGCAACTAGATCCTGGGCTTCCTTACAGGCTATCCCCAGGTGGCGAGAGTACGCAACAACACCTCCTCCACGTTGACCCTCAACACGGGGGCCCCTCAGGGGTGTGTGCTTAGTCCCCTCCTGTACTCCCTCTTCACCCACGACTGCATGGCCACGCACGACTCCAACACCATCATCAAGTTTGCTGACAACACAACGTTGGTTGGCCTGATCACCGATGGCGATGAGACAGCCTACAGGGAGGAGGTCGGAGACTTAGCAGTGTGGTGCCAGGACAACAACCTCTCCCTCAACGTCAGTAAGACCAAGGAGCTGATCATGGACTGCAGAAGAAAGAGGGGAGAGCATGCCCCCATCCATATCGCTGTAGTGGAGCGGGTCGAGCCCTTCAAGTTCCTTTGTGTCCACAACACTAAGAACTTAACATGGTCCACACACCCCCGCACAGTTGTGAAGAGGGCACTACAGCACCTCTTCCCCCTCAGGAAGCTGAAAAGATTTGCCATGGGCCCTCGGATCCTCACAAAGTTCTACAGCTGTACCATCGAGAGCATCTTGACTGGCTGCATTATCGCTTGGTATGGCAAATGCACCGCCCTCGACCACAAAGCACTAAAGAGCGTGGTGCGGAAAGCCCAGTACATCAATGGGGCAGAGTTCCCTGCCATCCAGGACCTCTATATCAGGTGGTGTCCGAGGAAGGCCGGAAAAATTGTCAAAGACTCTAGCCACCCAAGTCATAGACTGTTCACTCTGCTACCGTCCGGCAAACAGTACCGGAGCATAGGCTCTCGGACCAACAGGCTCCGAGACAGCTTCTATCCCTAAGCCATAAGTATGCTAAATAGCCATAACAAAATGGTTACCCAGACTATCTGCAATGACCCTATCTTGCACTGACTCGATGCACACTCACAACACTATACACTGAGTCTGCAAAACATGAAGAACACCTTCTTAATATTGAGTTGCACCCCCAGCTTTTGCCCTCAGAACAGCCTCAATTCGTTGGGGCATGGACTCTACAAGATGTCGAAAGCGTTCCACAAGGATGCTGGCCCATGTTGACTCCAATGCACAGTTGTTTCAGGTTGGCTGGAATTCCTTTGGGTGGTGAACCGTTCTTGATACACACGGGAAACTGTTGAGCGTGGTAAAACCCAGCAGCATTGCAAAGGCACTTACATCTTTTGTCTTGCCCATTCACCCTCTGAATGACACACATACACAATCCATGTCTCAAGACTTTAAAATCCTTCTTTAACCTGTCTCCTTCCCTTCATCTACTCAGATTGAAGTGGATTTAACAAGTGAGGGATCATAGCCTTCACCTGGATTCATCTGGTCATGGAAAGAGCAGGTGTTCTTAATGTTTGTACACAGTGTATATATGCACTATATACTCACTCTCTCACACAGAACCCACACACATTGACATACACTACATACGCACGCACACACACACACACACACACACACACACACACACACACACACACACACACACACACACACACACACACACACATACAGTGCATTCAGAAAGTATTCAGACCCCTTGACCTTTTCCACATTTTGTTACATTACAGCCTTATTCTAAAATTGATTAAATTGTTTTTTTTTTTCCCCTCATCAATCTACACACAGTACCCATAATGACAAAACAAAAACAGGTTTTTAGAAATGTTTGCACATTTATTAAAACTATAAAACTGAAATATCACATTTACGTAAGTATTCAGACCCTTTACTCAGTACTTTGTTGAAGCACATTTGGCAGCGATTACAGCCTTGAGTCTTCTTGGGTATGATGCTACAAGCTTGGCACACCTGTATTAGGGGAGTTTCTCCCATTCTTCTCTGCAGATCCTCTCAAGCTCTGTCAGGTTGGATGGGGAGCGTCGCTGCACAGCTACTTTCAGGTCTCTCAAGAGATGTTCGATCGGGTTCAAGTCCGGACTCTGGCTGTGCCACTCAAGGACATTCAGAGACTTGTCCCGAAGCCACTCCTGCGTTGTCTTGGCTGTGTGCTTAGGGTCGTTGTCCTGTTGGAAGGTGAACCTTCACCCCAGTCTGAGGTCCTGAGCACTCTGGAGCAGGTTTTCATCAAGGATCTCTCTGTACTTTGCTCCGTTCATCTTTCTCTCGATCCTGACTAGTCTCCCAATCCCTGCTGCTGAAAAACATCCCCACAGCATCATTCTGCCACCACCATGCTTCACTGTAGGGATGGTGCCAGGTTTCCTCCAGATGTGACACTTGGCATTCAGGCCAAAGAGTTCAATTTTGGTTTCATCAGACCAGAGAATCCTGTTTCTCATGGTCTGAGTCCTTTAGGAGCCTTTTGGCAAACTCCAAGCTGGCTGTCATATACCTTTTACTGAGGAGTGGCTTCCGTTTGGCCACTACCATAAAAACCTGATTGGTGGAGTGCTGCAGAGATGGTTGCCCTTCTGGAAGGTTCTCCCATCTCCACAGAGGAACTCTGGAGCTCTGTCAGAGTGACCATCGGGTTCTTGGTCACCTCCCTAACCAAGGCCCTTCTCCCCCGATTGCTCAGTTTGGCCAGGCGGACAGATCTAGGAAGAGTCTTGGTGATTCCAAACTTCTTCCATTTAAGAATGATGGAGGCACTATGTTCTTGGGTACCTTCAATGCATCTGATATGTTTTGGTACCCTTCCCCAGATCTGTGCCTCGACACAATCCTGTCTCGGAGCTCTACGGACAATTCCTGTGTGTGCCTTTCCAAATCATGTGCAATCAGTTTAATTTACCACAGGTGGACTCCAATCAAGTTGTAGAAGCATTTCAAGGATGATCAATGGAAACAGGATGCACCTGAGCTAAATTTCGAGTCTCATAGCAAAATGTCTGAATACTTATGTAAATAAGGGATTTCTGTTTATTTTTGTATAAATTTGGGAACATTTCTATAAACCTCTTTTCACTTTGTCTTTATGGGGTATTGTATGTAGACTGAGATGTATATATATTTTTTAATCCATTTTAGAATAAGGCTATAACTTAACAAAATGTTGAAAAAGTAAAGGGGTCTGAATACTTTCCGAATGCACTGTATACCGACACAACACAAATACACATACAGACGCACACACATACTCACACATACACACACACTTTTACACTCGTCATAAGCTGATGCTCTGTTCTTTTATTTTACTCTTATTATTATCTATCCTGATGCTTAGTCACTTTACCCTGCCTTCATGTACATATCTACCACAAATACCTCAGACCCCTGCACATTGATCTGGTACTGAGTGTTCGGGACGGGTGGACGTGTTAGCAGAGATGTGATACTACATGGAAAGAGAAATGTCTGAAACATGGACTTCAATTGGAAGTAAAACCCATCGCAATTCTTGGGGACTTCTCAACAACTACAGATATTTATCCCGGAAAGCCATGCTCCTCAGTGCTGTGGAGAACGCCAGAGCACGGAAGAAGCATCAAAAGAAGAATAACATCTCCAATAAGAGAAAAAGGACAGAGGAAAACAATGAAACGCAGGACACTATCCAAAGAGTAAAAAATATAAAATTACCTGAGAATGACACGTGTCTAGAAGTTGATAGCACTCTAAAACCCACAGACTCATGGACTCATGTTGCTAAATTTGGACTGCCATTGCCCCCTACAGTAGAGAGTTTGCCAATAGCTGCTTCTGGGGACAACAGCATAGCCAACCAGCAGACTTCAAAAGGCACAAAGCTGGTTGGGGCCACTCTGAGTGAACGATGGGAGGTGGACAGTGGATTTGTGTCTGAGGCCAGCCCTCCAACTAGTGGACGTAGTTCTCCCTGCCACACAATGAGCCCAACCACCGTGGTGGCCATGGACTGCGAGATGGTTGGTACAGGGCCAGGCGGGCGCACTAGTGAATTGGCACGCTGCAGCCTGGTGGATTACCATGGCAACGTCCTGTACGATAAGTACATCCGTCCGTGCCAGGCTGTGACTGACTACAGGACCCGTTGGAGTGGCATCCAGAGGCACCATTTACAGAACGCTCTGCCCTTCCCCAAGGCTAGGACAGAGATACTACGAATACTGGATGGGAAAGTGGTGATCGGTCACGCTTTGTACAATGACTTCCAGGCCTTGGACTTCACCCACCCATGTCACATGATCAGGGACACAAGTGGTATGCGTCTGCTCAGGCGACTGGCTGGCTTCCCCACAAAGCGCTGTGTCTCACTCAAGATCCTGGCCAACAGCCTCCTAAACAGGAAAATACAGGTTGGAAGGAGGGGCCACAGTTCAGTGGAGGACGCTCTCGCTTCCTTGGACCTGTATAAACTCGTGGAGGGGGAGTGGGAACAGGATATGCAAGAGAGAATGAGGGACCGAGACACAGGCACTCTCCCAGACCCCGCCACCTCAAACCACTACATGCAGGACCAGTACTGGCCAGAGGACTTGACCAATGACAGCCATTGAGAGAAGCCTGTGTAGGAGGGTTGATGGGGTAGAAGTAGGCCAGGGGTTTTAAGTAAAATGGTCCCAAGTTGGCAAGGGTGATACTAAATTCATCTGATCAGCTAATATTGCACACATACATGCTGGGAGCCGCAGTTTCCACAGGGGATAAGGTCACGGCAACACGTCAAGTCGCTCAATGTCAAGAATGGCATCAGGAAAGGGAGTGAACTGTGAAAGGAAGGGGTAAATGCAATGACGAGGGATTTATTTTAAGGTATTGCAGCCGTATGTCTTTGTGTGTATGTAGAGCATGTCAAGTTTGACATGGTTAACTTACTACTTGGATAGTTGGAACAATGGCTGGAAGTCTATGGGTATCTGCTAGCTTACTGGCACATACCCATAGACTTCCAGCCGTTGCGCTAACGCTAGTTAGCATTGGTTTGCAAAACTACCTATAACTTCCTTCATACTGGACAGAGACATACAATTTTTATCTACGAGTTCATCGGACTCTGGGGAAGTAGATAAAATCCAGAAGTATCCCTTTAACTCACGATTTGTTAAAACTTGCTTGCATGAAATTACACCAGTATCTCCAGATAAGTCGGCAGGTAGCTTAGTGGTTAAGAGCGTTGTGCCAGTAACCGAAAGGTCGCTGGTTCTAATCCCCAAGCCGACTAGGTGAAAAATCTGTCGATGTGCCCTTGAGCAAGGCACTTAACCCTGATTGCTCCTGTAAGTCGCTCTGGATAAGAGCGTCTGCTAAATGACTAAAATGTAAATGTAAAATGTACTGGTGCTCCATAGGCCTGGGCTATTGGTAGTGGTACTCAATAGGCTGCAGCAGCTTCCACTTAAACCTCTAGATGCTGTTTTCCATTGTGCCCTTGGATTCATTACTGGTGAAAATAATAGAACACCATTTTGTATTGTATCAAAAGGTAGGTTGGTTATTTACAAAGCGCTCCTGCAGAAACTTCCAATGTATCTTGCTCGTCAAGGTCAAAACATTAGAATACAGTACAAGAGCACAAGATTGGATAGTGCTAGGGTGGCTTCTGATTTGGGGAGAGCTGCTTTTGTTTTTTCTGTTCCACAGATGTGGAATGTGTTGCAGGGAGGGTCAGGCTTGAATGCCTGTTGCCCTTTAGGGAATTTAAAACATTAATGGGGAATGCTCTAAGTGAATATTGTGTTTTATTTTTTATTTTTTATGATCATGTTTTGTAATTTTGTGTTTGTGTTGTGCAGGGCTCATATGAAAAAGAGTCTTGGTCTCAATATGACACCCTGTTCAAATAAAGGTTAATAAAACTCCCTGTATACAGCTCCATTTTATTCTTCTTGTGTTACTATTTTTATGTTGTTGGGGAGGGCTCGTTAGCAAGCATTTCACGGTAATGTCTACACCCTTTGTATTCGGCGCATGTGACAAATAAAATGTGATTATATTTGACACCTACACAGACGAACACACATGGATGAGAACAGATACACAACGCTCTCACACACACACAAAAAACAACAACATTATGTATCTTTTGGTAAGGATGACAGACAGTCTTCAACGAGAAAAGCACTGTATTCAGAATAAACTCCAACCAACTTTGACCTATCACATTGCTATCTCCCACTTCACCAGTGTTGTCTTTTGCATAGAGATTATTCTCTAATGTTTTATCTCTACGGTTTACTCTCCAGCCAAAAGCCGGCGCCAGCCGAAGCCCTACAAGCCCAAGAAGATGATGAAGCTGGAGACCAAGACAGCGGTGAACACGGCCTGCAACAACGGCAGCAGTGGCATTGTCACCAAGGACGGAGAGCTCTACATGTTTGGCAAGGACGCCATCTACAGTGACAGCACCTGTGAGTGGGACAGATACAGGGGAACGGGTTTCTTTTGGGTTGCGTTGGTTAGTGCAAATGTTCACAGCTGATTAACTTGAGTGGGACAGAGAGAGGCTTCATCTGGGTAGTGTTCATTCGTGCAAATGTTCACGAATGTTCAGAAATGAAAAATATTAGACTGAAATATTACATTTTATAAGCCATGTTGGTTTGATAATGGTATTTCATAGCCTGGAAATTCTGACTGAATTCTGCTCTGTTAAGTGGAGCGTAGCATGATTCAGTCGGGATAAGGCTAGGTCTTTTACAGTAGCAATACAGTAGCAATGTTTTCTGCTCTCTCTTGTGCCCCCTCCAGGCCAGGTTTCAGACCTGAAGGGTCACATTGTAACACAGGTAGCCATGGGGAAGGCCCACACCTGTGTCCTGACCAAGAGTGGAGAGGTCTGGACATTTGGGGTCAACAACAAGGGCCAGTGTGGCCGAGAAACAGGGGCAGTGAACCAGGCGGGGAAAGGTAACATGCATGACGGACGCACATACAGTAGGTGCATGCACACACATTCACAGACGCGCACGCACGAGCACACAAATTACCACCCAACGCAAACATACTTTATTATACCATATACACACACAAACACAGACCAAACAACTGTTTTTTTTGCATGTATATTTTCTGTATTTTGCATGTATCACCCACTCGTGACCATGTGTGAAAAATGCACTTGAAATATAATAACATATCTTCTCTACCCCTTGTAGCATTTGGCATGGAGAGTATGGCGACCGCCATGGAAGAGGACCTGGAGGATGAGCTGGAGGAGAAGGAGGAGAAGAGCATGATGTGCCAGTCGGGCATGCACAAGTGGAAACTGGACCAGTGCATGGTGTGCACCGTGTGTGGAGACTGCACCGGCTACGGAGCCAGCTGTGTCAGCAGCGGACGGCCCGACAGAGTACCCGGAGGGTAATGCTGGGCATAAACTACATGACTTCTAAAATCTTAACAACTTGGACATGCTCACATTTCCCGATATCATTGTCACATATCTTTCATTCCGTCCATCCTCAACCCCAGGTTTCTCGGTTGTCGTAGGAAAGAAAATGCAGACGCAAACAGCGAGCTACTTTATTAGTGTGCACATTATTATGTGAAGAAATGTCATAAAGAGACAGAGGCGCAGAATATGGACTTAATATGAAATAATAATATAATATGATTTCATAAAATTATATTTTTGGTGTCTCATGGTAGGACGCAGAGGTAATATTGAAAAGGCAGCTGCGTTTTCGCCACAGCTCCACCAATCTGTCCTGCATCACCTCGGTCCACATGGTGTGTGCTGTTGTTGCTTTCCTCTTCGCCATCATTGTTTTTGTCTCACACGCTGAAAGCTCACTGGCTATTGGCAGTAGCAGTCCTTTCCCAATCGTGTGGTACAGTGAGGGAAAAAAGTATTTGATCCCCTGATGATTTTGTACGTTTGCCCACTGACAAAGACATGATCAGTCTATAATTTTAATGGTAAGTTTACTTGAACAGTGAGAGACAGAATAACAACAACAAAATCCAGAAAAATGCATGTCAAAAATGTTATAAATTGATTTGCATTTTAATGAGGGAAAGAAGTATTTGACCCCCTCTCAATCAGAAAGATTTCTGGCTCCCATGTGTCTTTTATACAGGTAACGAGCTGAGATTAGGAGCACACTCTTAAAGGGAGTGCTCCTAATCTCAGTTTGTTACCTGTATAAAAGACACCTGTCCACAGAAGCAATCAATCAATCAGATTCCAAACTCTCCACCATGGCCAAGACCAAAGAGCTCTCCAAGGATGTCAGGGACAAGATTGTAGACCTACACAAGGCTGGAATGGGCTACAATACCATCGCCAATCAGCTTGGTGAGAAGGTGAAAACAGTTGGTGCGATTATTCGCAAATGGAAGAAACACAAAAGACCTGTCAATCTCCCTCGGCCTGGGGCTCCATGCAAGATCTCACCTCGTGGAGTTGCAATGATCATGAGAACGGTGAGGAATCAGCCCAGAACTACACGGGAGGATCTTGTCAATGATCTCAAGGCAGCTGGGACCATAGTCACCAAGAAAACAATTGGTAACACACTACGCCGTGAAGGACTGAAATCCTGCAGCGCCCGCAAGGTCCCCCTGCTCAAGAAAGCACATATACATGCCCGTCTGAAGTTTGCCAATGAACATCTGAATGATTCAGAGGAGAACTGGGTGAAAGTGTTGTGGTCAGATGAGACCAAAATAGAGCTCTTTGGCATCAACTCAACTCGCCGTGTTTGGAGGAGGAGGAATGCGCCTATGACCCTAAGAACACCATCCCCACCGTCAAACATGGAGGTGGAAACATTATGCTTTGGGGGTGTTTTTCTGCTAAGAGGACAGGACAACTTCACCACATAAAAGGGACAATGGACGGGGCCATGTACCGTCAAATCTTGGGTGAGAACCTCCTTCCCTCAGCCAGGGCATTGAAAATGGGTCGTGGATGGGTATTCCAGCATGACAATGACCCAAAACACACGGCCAAGGCAACGAAGGAGTGGCTCAAGAAGAAGCACATTAAGGTCCTGGAGTGGCCTAGCCAGTCTCCAGACCTTAATCCCATAGAAAATATGTGGAGGGAGCTGAAGGTTCGAGTTGCCAAACATCAGCCTCGAAACCTTAATGACTTGGAGAAGATCTTCAAAGAGGAGTGGGACAAAATCCCTCCTGAGATGATTGCCAACAAGGGTTTTGCCACCAAGTACTAAGTCATGTTTTGCAGAGGGGTCAAATACTTATTTCCCTCATTAAAATGCAAATCAATTTATAACATTTTTGACATGCGTTTTTCCGGATTTTTGTTGTTGTTATTCTGTCTCTCACTGTTCAAAAATAACCTACCATTAAAATTATAGACTGATCATTTCTTTGTCAGTGGGCAAATGTACAAAATCAGCAGGGGATCAAATACTTTTTTCCCTCACTGTAACTCTGCTCATACTACAAGATGCACAACCAAAATTTATGACATTGCCAGGTCATAGGACAAGGGTCTGGAGAACGGAACAGCCATCATCTGGGAATCCTTGACCCTCTCAAACTATGCGAGTCCCGACATACTGATCCTAGCAAAAGCTAATAGGATTTCACCCCGACCATAAAAATGAGTCTTGGAAAACTTGACGAAGAGGGAGACACACACACACACACACACACACACACACACACACACACACACACACACACACACACACACATACACACACACACACATACATACATGAGAACACACACACACACCATTCACTAGTTGCAGTATCTTTGTTAAGAGAACATACATTTATGTTTGGGTCTAAGTTAGGGCTGACTCCATTTAGTCGATTGTTTGGTTGATAGGCTGTTGGTCGACCAAGATTGTTTTAGTGTAGCAGTGGAAAATATACGAGGCACATATCTGATTCACGCCTGTCTGAGTGGACTAATCCATTGCGGAGGCCGCGGGGATGGCACTCCAGTGTCACAAGTAGTACATTTACAGATAATTTCCATCATTTGTAATCTACAATGTTTGTTTGAATACGGTAATTTATGTTAATGCATTAAAATGTATTATTATTAGTCTTACCATTTTCATTGTAGGGGTGGACACGTTGTTTGCAGAGCGCTCAACCTATGCTACACTTGTGAGAAAAAAGTTTTGGTTTATTTCATTCCATTTACGAGTTGTCAATATATTAATTGTCTTTTGTTTGGAACACTCCTGTTAATATTGAGTAAGGACACGCACCTGATTACGCACATAGAAGTAGGACTAGTCTACCTGGCCTGCGTGCAAATGTAGGCCTATAAGTGTGCCCATTTGGGAATCTGATACTATTTCTGATTGTAGTAATTCGCCTTAAACAGCAAATAAACAATGTCTGTTTTTACATCGATTGAGAATGACAAAAGTTCCTCAATGTAGCCTATTTGAAAGATCTTTCCAGCTCTCTCCCTTTCGATTACCACTCAGCATGAAAGGGAAAAAAAAATGTCATGCGCTGATCCGGTGAAACGTCATAAAATAGGCCTACATGATTACTTCTTATCCTACAGCCTACAGCTGTGTTTGTCTGTCTGGAGCTCACTGGCACGGGAAACTATGAGGGCCCAGAATATTTTATTCAATGTTGCAAGTTTGCTAGCAGGGGTTTCGGACCAAGTTAATATAATAGTTGATGCAATGTTTCAAGTTCCTTGCAGTCAGGCCATGCGTAGCCAATGTGATTTCTAGGATATTCATTTTTTGCAGGATATTTTCTACCTGCGGGCTGCAATGTTTTTATTTGTTGGCTTTATGTATGTAGGCTATTTTTACATATTGGCAATGGCAATAGAAGTTACTTTTAGATTTGTATCATTTTTATTTAGATATAATTTTGATTAACCACATGGCATTGATTTTGAGATATGAAGACTTTATTATGAATGAAATTAAACTGTTCCACGAAAATCATAACTGACACGCAGATCATTAGAAATGGTACGATAACATGGCACTCCAAATGGAAAAGGTTGCCGACCGCTGGTGTAGCCTATTTCCGGCAACTTCAGGAGCATAATGGCAGAATCTGCGAAGGCCAGCAGCAGCAGGAGGGTCATGAACAGGTTTTTGTTCTTCTGGTTAGGCTATATTGATCTCTGGCTCCCTCCCTCTTCAGTAATTTGTCTTAATTTTTAATTGCAGTGCTTAAAGTATCAGACAAGCTCAGTAGCCTACATATAGTTGATTTTATTCAATACATGGGGAAATACACATTTAAACATTTAGACCAATCAATTGGTCGAAAGAACAGACGACTCTACATCGACCAATATTTTTTTTAGTCGGGGACAGCCCTAATCTATGTTAATGGTTAAGTATATTTGCTATTTGCTAGTGCTTAGTGATCTGTCTTTACAAATCAGTATTGTTGAGTCAAAATGCTGATCAGATGCACTAATATTTGTTTCTGTATGTGTGTTTGTATGCTTTTGTTTGTCTTGTGGATGTCTGTGTTTGTTTGTGTTTATTTTGATGTTTGTCTCTCTGTATGTATGTGTGTGTCTCTCTTTCTGCATCTCTCTCTCCCTCTCAGTATCTGTGGCTGTGGTTCAGGGGAGTCTGGCTGCTCAGCGTGTGGCTGCTGTAAGGCCTGCGCCAGGGAGCTGGATGGACAGGAGGCCAGACAGAGGGGCATCTTTGACGCTGTCAAGGAGATGATACCACTAGACCTACTACTAGGTAAACACACAATAACAACAGTTGCTCAATATACACTACATGACCAAAAGTATGTGGACACATGTTCGTCGAACATCTTATTCCAAAATCATGGGCATTAATATGGAATTGGTCCCCCCTTTGCTGCTATAACAGCCTCCACTCTTCTGGGAAGGCTTTCCACTTGATATTGGAACATTGCTGCAGGGACTTGCTTCCATTCAGCCACAAGAGCATTAGTGAGGTCGGGCACTGATGTTGGGCGAAGTTCTTCCACACTGATCTCGACAAACCATTTCTGTATGAACCTCACTTTGTGCACAGGGGCATTGTCATGCTAAATCAAGAAAGGGCCTTCTCCCAAACTGTTGCCACAAGTTGGTAGTTGGAAGCACATAATCGTCTAGAATGTCATTGTATGCTGTAGCATTAATATTTCCCTTCACTGGGTCTAAGGGGCCTAGCCCGAACCATGAGAAACTGCCCCTGACCATTATTTGTCCTCCACCAAACTTTACAGTTGGTACTATGCATTGGGGCAGGTAACGTTCTCCTGGCATAGCAGAATCCACTAATTTGAAGGGGTGTCCACATACTTTTGTATATATAGTGTATCTGCATGTTCCGGTTTGGTGTATTCATTCGCAAACAGTTACGACCCATTTCACACTGTATAGTATATTTCTTGAGTTACAAGGCATTACTGTTGTCTGCTTCTTTTATTTATCTTTTTTTTCTCAGTCATTCCATGTCAGCACACTGCTTAACCATTGCTACAGTGTTAAGCAGTGTTTTCCCAAGACCAGGAGTGGGTTAGTTTAAAAAAAAAATAGTTAGTCGCTTAGTACATAGACTATATATTTTTTTTTAAAATTGAAAACATAGTCCAGTCTGAACTTAAACAACTAAATCCTGGTAGAATGTGGTAGAATGTTATAAAGTAATTTAATCTCTGAATAATTTTTCTTCAATCACAGTATTTTCAATAGAGATATTAGCAGCGCTATTTAGCAAATTTGGTTGATTTTGTGGTCTCAAACCAGTGAGCATATTAACATTCTTCATCAAAAGTATGGGCAAAATGGAATTATTGACTCTGAAAAAGGTTGGAATGTTGTTCTCTTGTCATATAATTGCTACATTTGCCTTTTTTTGTTTTTACAGATTGCGTTTTGGTATATATTTTTTATTGGGTTAAATTTGGGTCCCGAGGCAAAACCAATTGAGAACCACTGCCCTAGACCATCATCCCTAGCCTGATCCTAGATCTGTTTCTGCTGTGTAGCCAACTCTTATGGTCATTGTCAGGCATAGGAGTTGGCTATACAGCACAAACAGCTCTGGGATCAGGCTAGGGTGTACCTGCTCAAGTAATGGTAGAGGGAACACAGGGCTCCCAGCATAAGTCAGCTTTTGAAGCACATGTCTGTCAATCACTATGTCTGTTTGTCTTCATGTAAGCTCAAGGTAGAATGAGAACCTTGACGACCTTTTACCTAGCCGGTGGGGATTCCACAAAATAATCAAAGGTCTGACCGCATGGAGATGCTTGGGAAAACGTTTACAACAGGGGATCAGAGTGTTTGTGTCTCAGGTGAAGAGGGTGGATCTGATCTCCATAAATCAAGTTATTTCTCGAGTTGGGTTCTGGGATATAACAGCCGTTGAGTATCAGATTTTATGGTGGATTGTGGAGGAGGGGGGTTGAGTGTTGGAGTATGTGAGTATGTGCTTGTGTGCTTGTCTGGCATCTGTTGTGGGGGAGTGGGGATGTTGGGGGGGAGTGGGGGGTATGGGATGGACCACAGGAATTATTTGCTAGGAAAATAATTGCTTGTCAATGAATTAAATGTAATACAATGGCAATCCGGGTTATATGTTAGAATCCTACGCGTGAACTGCCGACATTATTATGCATATTAATTGATAATGATGGAAAATAGGATATGCATAATTTAAAAAAAAAAAGTTATATAGATATATATACAGTGGGGAAAAAAAGTATTTAGTCAGCCACCAATTGTGCAAGTTCTCCCACTTAAAAAGATGAGAGAGGCCTGTAATTTTCATCATAGGTACATGTCAATTATGACAGACAAAATGAGAAAGAAAAATCCAGAAAATCACATTGTAGGATTTTTAATGAATTTATTTGCAAATTATGGTGGAAAATAAGTATTTGGTCAATAACAAAAGTTTCTCAATACTTTGTTATATACCCTTTGTTGGCAATGACACAGGTCAAACGTTTTCTGTAAGTCTTCACAAGGTTTTCACACACTGTTGCTGGTATTTTGGCCCATTCCTCCATGCAGATCTCCTCTAGAGCAGTGATGTTTTGGGGCTGTCGCTGGGCAACACAGACTTTCAACTCCCTCCAAAGATTTTCTATGGGGTTGAGATCTGGAGACTGGCTAGGCCACTCCAGGACCTTGAAATGCTTCTTACGAAGCCACTCCTTCGTTGCCCGGGCGGTGTGTTTGGGATTATTGTCATGCTGAAAGACCCAGCCACGTTTCATCTTCAATGCCCTTGCTGATGGAAGGAGGTTTTCACTCAAAATCTCACGATACATGGCCCCATTCATTCTTTCCTTTACACGGATCAGTCGTCCTGGTCCCTTTGCAGAAAAACAGCCCCAAAGCATGATGTTTCCACCCCCATGCTTCACAGTAGGTATGGTGTTCTTTGGATGCAACTCAGCATTCTTTGTCCTCCAAACACGACGAGTTGAGTTTTTACCAAAACGTTCTATTTTGGTTTCATCTGACCATATGACATTCTCCCAATCCTCTTCTGGATCATCCAAATGCACTCTAGCAAACTTCAGACGGGCCTGGACATGTACTGGCTTAAGCAGGGGGACACGTCTTGCACTGCAGGATTTGAGTCCCTGGCGGCGTAGTGTGTTACTGATGGTAGGCTTTGTTACTTTGGTCCCAGCTCTCTGCAGGTCATTCACTAGGTCCCCCTGTGTGGTTCTGGGATTTTTGCTCACCGTTCTTGTGATCATTTTGACCCCACGGGGTGAGATCTTGCGTGGAGCCCCAGATCGAGGGAGATTATCAGTGGTCTTGTATGTCTTCCATTTCCTAATAATTGCTCCCACAGTTGATTTCTTCAAACCAAGCTGCTTACCTATTGCAGATTCAGTCTTCCCAGCCTGGTGCAGGTCTACAATTTTGTTTCTGGTGTCCTTTAACAGTGTGACTGTTTGAGGTTGTGGACAGGTGTCTTTTATACTGATAACAAGTTCAAACATGTGCCATTAATACAGGTAACGAGTGGTGGACAGAAGAGCCTCTTAAAGAAGAAGTTACAGGTCTGTGAGAGCCAGAAATCTTGCTTGTTTGTAGGTGACCAAATACTTATTTTCCACCACAATTTGCAAATAAATTCATAAAAAATCCTACAATGTGATTTTCTGGATTTTCTTTTCTCAATTTGTCTATCATAGTTTACGTGTACCTATGATGAAAATTACAGGCCTCTCTCATCTTTTTAAGTGGGAGAACTTGCACAATTGGTGGCTGACTAAATACTTTTTTTCCCCACTGTATATATATATATACAGTGGGGAGAACAAGTATTTGATACACTGCGGATTTTGCAGGTTTTCCTACTTAAAAAGCATGTAGAGGTCTGTAATTTTTATCATAGGTACACTTCAACTGTGAGAGACGGAATCTAAAACAAAAATCCAGAAAATCACATTGTATGATTTTTAAGTAATTCATTTGCATTTTATTGCATGACATAAGTATTTGATCACCTACCAACCAGTAAGAATTCCGGCTCTCACAGACCTGTTAGTTTTTCTTTAAGAAGCCCTCCTGTTCTCCACTCATTACCTGTATTAACTGCACCTGTTTGAACTCGTTACCTGTATAAAAGACACCTGTCCACACACTCAATCAAACAGACTCCAACCTCTCCACAATGGCCAAGACCAGAGAGCTATGTAAGGACATCAGGGATAAAATTGTAGAACTGCACAAGGCTGGGATGGGCTACAGGACAATAGGCAAGCAGCTTGGTGAGAAGGCAACAACTGTTGGCGCAATTATTAGAAAATGGATGTTCAAGATGACGGTCAATCACCCTCAGTCTGGGGCTCCATGCAAGATCTCACCTCATGGGGCATCAATGATCATGAGGAAGGTGAGGGATCAGCCCAGAACTACACGGCAGGCTCTGGTCAATGACCTGAAGAGAGCTGAGACCACAGTCTCAAAGAAAACCATTAGTAACACACTACGCCGTCATGGATTAAAATCCTTCAGCGCACGCAAGGCCCCCCTGCTCAAGCCAGCGCATGTCCAGGCCCGTCTGAAGTTTGCCAATGACCATCTGGATGATCCAGAGGAGGAATGGGAGAAGGTCACGTGGTCTGATGAGACAAAAATGAGCTTTTTGGTCTAAACTCCACTCGCCGTGTTTGGAGGAAGAAGAAGGATGAGTACAACCCCAAGAACACCATCCCAACCATGAAGCATGGAGGTGGAAACATCATTATTTGGGGATGCTTTTCTGCAAAGGGGACAGGACGACTGCACCGTATTGAGGGGAGGATGGATGGGGCCATGTATCGCGAGATCTTGGCCAACAACCTCCTTCCTTCAGTAAGAGCATTGAAGATGGGTCGTGGCTGGGTCTTCCAGCATGACAACGACCCAAAACACACAGCCAGGGCAACTAAGGAGTGGCTCCGTAAGAAGCATCTCAAGGTCCTGGAGTGGCCTAGCCAGTCTCCAGACCTGAACCCAATAGGAAATCTTTGGAGGGAGCTGAAAGTCCGTTTTGCACAGCGACAGCCCTGAAACCTGAAGGATCTGGAGAAGGTCTGTATGGAGGAGGGGGCCAAAATCCCTGCTGCAGTGTGTGCAAACCTGGTCAAGACCTACAGGAAACGTATGATCTCTGTAATTGCAAACAAAGGTTTCTGTACCAAATATTAAGTTCTGCTTTTCTGATGTATCAAATACTTATGTCATGCAATAAAATGCAATTTAATTACTTAAAAATCATACAATGTGATTTTCTGGATTTTTGTTTTAGATTCCGTCTCTCACAGTTGAAGTGTACCTATGATAAAAATTACAGACCTCTACATGCTTTGTAAGTAGGAAAACCTGCAAAATCGGCAGTGTATCAAATACTTGTTCTCCCCACTGTATATATATATATATATATATGTGAAAGCATTGGAAATGCTTTT